GTCATACATGCTTATGGAAAGAACTTGCATGACATCTTTTGTCCTACCCTCCCTTGGCAGCAAGGTCCAATTGGAAACTAAGGAATATTAAGGCCTCCTTTTAATAGAGAACTGGAACAAAGCATTAACACAAGGTGAATACATGAACTCCTCAAACTACGGTCATCACCGGAAGTGGTCCCGACTAATGTCACTCCGGGGTTGCCGGATCATAACACGTAGTAGATGACTATAACTTGCAAGATCAGATCTAGAACATGGATATAATTGTGATAACATAAACGGTTCAGATCTGAAATCATGGCACCCGGGGCCAAAGTGAGAAGCATTAAGCATGACAAAGTCATAGCAACATCAAACTCAGAACATAGTGGATACTAGGGATCAGGCCCTAACAAAACTAACTAGATTACATGATGAATCTCATCCAACTCCTCACCAACCAGCGAGCCTACGAAGGAATTACTCACTCCCGGTGGGAAGCATCATGGAATTGGCGACGGAGAAGGGTTGGTGATGACAAAGATCAAAGACCCCCCTCTCCGGAGCCCCAAACGGACTCCAGATCTTGCCTCCTGATGAAGAACGGGAGGTGATGGCAGCTCCGTCTCGTAGGTTTCAGGGTCTGCGGGGCCACCAGGTGGGGACAACCCACCTGGGCGCGCTTGGAGGGGGGGCATGCCCTGGTGGGTTGTGCCCACCCAGGTGCCCCCCTCCAGTGGTTCTTGACTCCAGAAATTCTCATATATTGCATAAAATTCCTTGCAAAGTTTTGTTCCATTCCAAAAACTTTTATTTCTGCACAAAAACAACACCATGGTAGTTCTGCTGGAAACAACGTCAACCCGGGGTTAGTTTCATTCAAATCATGCAAATTAGAGTCCATAACAAGAGAAAAAGTAGATACGTTGGAGACGTATCATGCCTTTATAGCCCACTTTTGTACTACTACCTCGTATTTAGCGTCAAATTTTGACCATAGATTTACCTAAAAAAATGCCAATGCATGTCACCAAAAATTATACCATTTAAAATTATGTTCAAATACGAATCCAACGATATAATTTGTAGTAACATGCATTAACATTTTGTCAGTTAAATATATGGTCAAATTTTGATACTATAAAATACGAAGAGTAAACTAGGACGAAGGTAGTACTTGCTCTTAGGATAACCATAGAGTTATTAGTATAAGTTATTGGCACTATGAGTAGCCTAGGCTACTAGTACAACAAAAAAATGATGCAGGTAATCACATGAGAAAAAAATACTACTAAAAATATTTCTTCCGGTGCAGTGCGTAGTTGCGGTTTTGAACACTACACTTGCCGTCGTAATTTGGGAAAATTACGAAAAAAGTTGAGCTACGTTGTGATTACCGTTTACTAATAGGAAAGAAGTTTCACCTTGATGAGTAGCTTCTCCGTGCAGGGAAAGCATCTAAGAAATCCAACAACTTGATCCAGATTGGGGCGGATAGATTTTATTGCCAAGATCTTCAGTGTGCGCACAGACTGCGTGAAACTTGTGGGAATCATTTTCTGGATGACACTTGTAAATACATTAAGAGGAAATTTAAAAATATGAATTTCAAAAAGACGGGGAAGAAGATGAGTGTTGTACCTGAACGATTATGGATCTACTAAAGAGTTCGGAGAATTTGGTAGACGAGTACACCAACACTGTCAATTTCAGCACGTCAATAACCCTGATTTTTGTTGGACCTTTTAGATCAGATACAAGTAATCTTTCAAGGAAAGGCAGATTCTCAATGACCATAACGTGGAACAGCTCAAGTGATCTCTTCCCAATTGATGACTTGTTGTGTGACCAGCAAGACACATAAATCCATCAGAGATTCGTCGAGATGAAGTGGAGGTTAATGAACCCATGGATCTGACATGCGCGGCCCACCACGAAGAGCCCTGCCTCGATGCACCACAAGTCCAAAACGCAGGCTTTCTTGGGAGCTTAAAGTCTTATATGTGGGAAATGGCCTTCTCAGCCTGAGCTCAAATGAGCTCGAGTTAACTGTAAAATCAAAAAATATTAAGAACAGTTCAATCAAATCTATTTTTTTACAAACACTGACAAAAGTTCTAAAATCTTGCAAAATTTCATCATGAAATCGTATTTGTGGAAGTCGTGGCAAAGAAAAAATAGTGCTCCAAAATGCTTTTGGAAGTAACATTTTTAGAGTTTTTTTTTTTTTGCAACGCCTTCCACAAATGTGATTTCATGACGAAATTTTGCAAGATCATAGACCTTTTGTCAATGTTTGTCAAAAAAATAGTGTTTAAAAAAAATGATTTTACTGTTCACTCAAGCTCATTTGAGCTTGGGCTCACAAACTCCACGTCCCTTATAGGTGATGTATTTCAAGTTACTGAAAAAAGGTGATATATTTCAAGGAACTCCCTTGTAAAGTTAGATATGTCAGATGACTTTTACAGCAAGCACCTCAACTATTTCTTTTCCATCCCTCCTGTCCTTCAGCCTTCCAAATCTGCATAGCGATAATGCCTCCTCCCATGAAATCCATGCATAAGTGCACTACCGGACATCACTAATTATGCAAGAAAGCTGGTCATGTTAGTTACTAAGAACTATGTCTATCCATCACAACTATTTGAGCACACATCAACAATGACAAAGCATCATCACAAATATTTTAGGACAATGACAAAATTAAGCCACCCCCTTCAATCACAACAAACATGCCATTCTAGACAATCCCTACCAGAACACAGCACACGAGACGTACTACATATCAACTGGTACATAACAGGAGGGTCATTTTGTGGTACAAGACTGGCAAAACCGAGTATCATGGACAAAAAATGATCACAGCTCAATATCCATCTGGATGGTACATGACAGAAAAAAGCCTTCGCCTCCAAGCCCAGTGCTTCTTGCTCATCAAGCTTTCATGTGCTGGGAGAGATCCCAACCTGGGACTATGTAAGCTTGTCAGTTTCTGCCTACCTAGGTTAGGTAAATGAAATTTCATGTAGAACACATGGTATAACACTGAACTTTATTTCGAAGGAAAATACAGCAAACTGTATTACTAAAAGCCGACTACACACTTGCAAGCAAAAGAAAATTTGAATAACAAAGAGGTCAGGTGTTAACAATAATCTACCCTTTAAAGCTACTTGCAGAGAACGAACCTAAGGAATGGATGCAACGGTAACTGGATATTCATCAATTTTCTGGAATCTGTTACTCACATACTCCCTCCGATCCAAATTAATTGACGCTTGTTTAGTATAAAGTTAGTACAACTTTGTACTAAACCAGCGTCAATTAATATGAATGGAGGGAGTATTAAACTTCAAGCATTTTATGCAGCAGCAACCGGATATTATTCAAATTTCTGGAATCTGGTACTCACATGCCAGTACATATATGAGCTAGAGCCAAATAAACTTATATGGCAGTCCATGAGTAATTTAGATTATACAAATACACATGATTGTACTAACAGATCTAGTCAGTATGGATAGTTTCACTAAACTCAACATCAACAGTTCGAAAACAACCAAATTGGGCAAGAGTGCTATATAAATTCAGTGCATTTCTTAGTAACCATACGATGCAAATGGCACGGAGGTGATACTACTGCAGCCTTAACAAGCTTTTCGCGGCCCTACTACTTTGACCTATTTGTTACCAGAAATTAGAGGCGGTCCAGACCAGAGTGTCGAATCAGACCACATACAATGTTAGAAACAAAATGTGGCACCATCTTCTGGATAACTTTTGGAGAATACTTAAGATCCTCTTACTTTGGCCACTCATTTTCTTCATACCTCGATTTCACTAAAATTTAATGAGTTGCATACAAAATTAGCTGTCTGTAAAGCTTGAGTTCAGTGCAAGTTAAAGATGGAAGCTAAACTGATATCTAACATTTGTATAACAAATGTCTCCAAGAAATCCAAGCGTGTGACATGCAAACATTGCAACTTAAAAATAAAGAATTTACCTTATGAATTGTATAATAAACCAGTAAAAACCGAAGTAGTTTAGATAGTCATTCTGCTACATAGTCATGCAATGAAGGATTGAGAAGCTGCACTATCTATGAGGTACAAAAAAACACAAACTTTATATTGGATTGAAAAGGTAAGAAATGGATGGAACTAGGTACCATCAGCACTAAGCAGAACAACATTCATCAAAAGACTTCACCTGGATCCCTAGTTTTAAAGAGCCCACATTCATTTGAGTGTCCAATTAGAATTGGGTCACCCAACTTCGACTAGGTCAACAATTTCTCAAAGTTCTCATTCAATTCTTTTGTTTCAGCATGTTCCCTAATTTTAAAGCTTTTTCATTCAATTAAGGTATTCAATTTTGAATTTGGTTTACGGTTCTGACCGGGCCATATTTTGTGCCACTGGATTCTATACTAGTCGTTCCCATATTTTGTGCTTTACGCTCTTAAACCTGTGCCAACCATCCACAGTGGCACTAGTATAACAGATTCTATGGTAGTCGCTCCCATATTTTGTGCCATACAAACATACCATATATCATCCAACAGATGGAAGCACAGCTCTGTTCTTTTGATGATGATTGCAAGTTGTATGATCAAGTGGTTCAAAAATTATATGAAATATTCATATTCAGTCATTGAAATTTAAAAAAAGAACTAAAAGGTTGTTGTCTAACATGTAAACTAAAATTTACCAAAATAGTAGTACCAAACCCCAAACATTATTTTGATTCCATGCAAGCATTGATATCGTATATAGCAAAAAAAACGTATTTAATGTACCGAATAAACTAAATGCAGAGTTAATCTGGTAATCTCGTGAAATAAGCACACAGACTAAAATTTGAGCACAATGCAAAATCTAAATGAATCAACTGCAAAATTAAGCACATGCACACAGACTAAGATTTGAATACAACCCTACACATAAATTCTTTTGAAGATGGTCAGCTTTGATAAACAAATCAAAGCTCCATTACAAGTAGGATGGACATGATCACAGCAGTTTGAAGACGTATCCACCAACGATGTAGCTCACGGACTTGTGCTTGATTATCATTAGCCTTCCCGTGCTGGCATCGTTGACAAACTCCATGCCAGCTAACACCACAATGCTCTCAGCTTTCCTGTCCTTGTTGCCCTTGCTTGTCCGGAAGACCCTGGCTGTGCAAAGCTTGCCAGAGCCAAGCGGCAGGAGACTAGCCGCCATCGGTGTCCACGCCTCTGACAGATGCGGTTCTTCCCACACTTGCTGAAAGGGAAATTCATGAAGCAGTGGCGCCGGTGGCTCCTGCACCAGGTTGGCTACACAGAGGTGCTCATCTTTTCGAGAAAAGCCGAACCAGAGGCCATGCTCTGCGATATACTGGGCAGGGCCACTAAATGGCAGGATCCAGTCACCTAGCTTGCTCCACTTGCCGCTACTAGTGCTGAAGGAGTGCGTACCCGCGCCCACGGTGGATATCCAGATGTCCGAGTCACCGACCGCTGCATAGGCGCTGAACTCAAAGGGGTCCACCTCACCCAACCCCAACCCGTACTTGTGAGTTGGGTTCTTGATGATTTCCAGGAAATTAATGGGGAGCGGGTGGAGACGACGCCAGCACCAGTCTTTCAAGCTGAGAGCTTGAAAATGGTACCCCTGACATGGCAGGCCGGACTGGCGCGCCATGACATAGAAAACATTGCCAACGGTGAGAGAAATGGAGCGGCACCTGGGGTCTATGATCGGGTTGATGACGCGGACGGCCCCAACGGCGCTATCATAGAGAAGGGTGCGGCTCTCATAGTCGAAGGCAATGATGTCGTCGTTGAGGGCCATGAAATCCATCCACCCGTTTTGGCTCGGCGGATAGGGCTGGTAGAAGGATATGGTGGCGGGAGGGAGCCGAGCCGGAGCCAGACCCGATGCCGAAGCCTTCTTGGTTATTGCTGCTGGATGTGCTGGCGGTAGTCCGGCAGGACAGAATAAGCTTGCCAGATCGATGCGGTGCAGATTAACGGCTGGGCAGCGGCCGTTCAATTTGTTGACTAGAAGATTCAGAAAACGGCGATTCATTGTTGCTCGATCTCTAATAGAGAAGGGAAGAATCTGACTTTCCTCTGTAGTTTGATATCCTGGTAATCAAAAGAAAGAACATGAACCAGTTAACTGTTGATATCCAACCTCTTCTCGTAAGATCCGGTCAACATCCAGATATGTATAGAGAAATAGTATCGGAGATCTGGGCGTACCTCACCGGAGCATAGGGGTTCAACTGAACCGCACGAGTTCTGAAAGCTGTTACTGGTACTTGACAACACAGCAAACAAATCATTCGAAAACGAACCTTCACGGATTGGTTCCCACGGATTGGATCAGCCAGAGAGGAAGGAGAAGGATACAGGTGCGCGAGGAGAGAGATCAAGAAGGCCCCATTATATAGGGGCGGCGCAAGGAGTAACCCTCTAATTCTCCCCTCGACCGCTGCGTGACCAGGCCTGATGGGCCGAGCCGGCAATTTATTCATTGTCTTCTTTTTCCTTCTGTGCATCCAATAAGACTTCCTTGCTCAAAAAAAAAATCTAATAAGACTTCCTCTCAAAAAAAATCTATAATGAGACTTAAATAGTTCATCCCCACTATCACCCAAAAAAAAATCTCACTATCTTATTTCTCTTGACATGCTGCATATCTACCCCAACGTTGTGCCACATCAACATTTTTTTCTATTAACACACCGAAGCTCAACATTTTGTGGTTGAAAGAAAAAGAACAATTTGCACCGACCGACTGCCTTCTCCCCATCTCTACCTAATAATAAAGGGCTATCGCTTCTGCCCGTACGTCGTCACTAGTATTTTATTAATTTATTTTAATCAAAACATGCAATCCTAACGAGAAAAACAGTTTGTTTCATCGTACGTCTTCTCGCCTCTCTAGCGTCACGGTTGTCCTTATGGGCCTGGGCCACATCCACGCTAGTGATGCTTCAGCCAAATCAATCAGCTATCTCTCTCTCAGCCCATCTCCACTTATATCATTGTCTGATTTTGTCGCCCCATCGGCACGCACACCAACTCTTCTTTCCCACCGTGTGCAATAACGAACGTATAAGGGTCCACCACGCACGAAACGCTAAGGGCGACTAGGAGGCGATTGCCTGGCGATCTCCGCTCAGCGCTAGGGTTAGGGTTTTGAAGGCGTGGGTGGTGAGGATACGGTCGTGTTTGGGGCGGCGACGGCGCTCCCCTCGACGCGGATCGGTGCAAGATGTCTTCTCTACACGGCGATGCCATGAGAGAGAAGGCGAAGGAGAAAGTCTCGGCGGCTCCGACGACAACGGCGAACCCGGAGGCGACAGCGACCCCGTGGAAAGCTACAAACGGGCGTTCTTCTGAATCCCCGATCACGTGCAAAACGCCGGATCCGGCCGCAAGCCTCTCAGCGAAACTGGGTGGTATGGTTCTGCTAGACAAGGAGGCGGAGGGTTTCGTCTACGAGGAACCAGATCAGATCTTGCCCAAGAGTTTAAAGTGGTCGGCGGTGGGGAAAGCCTTCTCCCCGCGACCCCTAAACAGGACGGTGCTAGAGAAAACGATGCATAGGGCATGGGGACTCCACCATGAAGCACGGTTCCGAGACATGGGCGACAACGTCTTTGCTGTCCACTTTGGAAGTGAGGGGGATTGGAAGCATGCTATGAACAGTGGACCTTGGCAATATGATTTCAATGTGCTGGTACTGAAGGAATATGAGAGCAATGTTAGGCCATCGGAGATGGTTTTTGACAAAACAGATGTGTGGGTTAGGGTCTCGGATCTCCCACCAGGTAAAAGAACGGAGAAGTTTGGCAAAGCATTGGGTAACTGGCTTGGCGAAGTTGTGAAGGTGGATGTTGACAAGGATGGCATGGCTCGAGGAAATCAGCTGCGGGTGAGGGCTAGGATCCCGCTGGTTGAGCCCTTGGTACGTGGTTTTGTCCTCAAAACCTCGCAAGAAGATAAGGTGGGCACCTGGTTTGATTTTCACTATGAAAAAATTCCGCACTTCTGCTTTGAGTGTGGAAGATTGGTGCACGTGAATGGTCGATGTGAACCCCCGGTCAACAAGGCAGAGCAATGGGGGGGATGGCTGAGAGCTTCACCAGGCAGGAGCACTGGCTCCAAGAATGAGACCAAGGGGGGAAAGAACAACCCTAATACGAGCAGCAGTTACATGAGTTCACAATCGGATGGGAACAATAGAGAGCAGGACAACCATGCTCTCGGGCGGGATGCCCCTGTTAAGCGCAATCTGAATGCTGATTTCGACCGCCCGATGAATGCACGCACTGGCGGGCAGAACCGTGGCGAGAGAGGGGTCGTTGACTCGCCTAAGAAAGAAAGGGCAGGAAGAGAGTGGCCAAATGAGCGCGACCTCAGGCATGAGTTGGAAAGGAAGAGAGAGAGATTTGAGGGAGGATCTCAAGGAGCAGCAAAGGCAGAGATGGATCGATCGTGAACAGTTTGACGGGAGAGGCCAATGGGAGAGGGGGGCGTCTAGTAGAAATGGAGTTGACAACCATGGATACCGTCCACACTATCCTACAGAGAGGAGAAGAGGGCACTATGTCAGAAAATACAGGAATGAACTTGAGGGGAGAAGGAGGAAGGATGATAGCCCCCAGAACTCCCCAAACTCAAGGAAGAGGAGGCTGAGGCAGATGTGGGTGCCCAAAGGTGATGGGGAGAAGCAAGATGGTGAAGAATCTTTTATCAGAGATACTAGACAGAAGACCTCATCAGTGTTCGAACGCATCGAGGAGAATGTAGATTTATTGACGGACCCTGCCAGGGAGCAGGGCCGCCAGGAGCAATGATCATCTTGGCCTGGAACTGCCGAGGATTGGGGTTGGACTCGGCAGTTGGCAAACTTCGGGACCTGGTTAGGTCATACAACCCAGCGGTGTTTTTTTTGTCTGAAACAAAGAAGAGATCGGGAGCTATGGATAGACTAAAATGGAGTTTGGGTTTCAATAAGGGTGTTGCGGTGGATTGTAGGGGCAAGAGTGGAGGACTAGCGCTGTGGTGGAGGGACTATGTGGAAGTAACTGTGCGACCGTGGTGTCAGTATTACATTGATGCGACGATAGTGCCTGATGGTGTTTCCTTTAGGTTCGCTGGAATCTATGGGGAGCCATGCGTCGAGAAGAGAACAAAAACTTGGGAGATTTTGCGATATCTTCGAGGTCAAGACAATCTCCCTTGGTTGTGCGCAGGAGACTTCAACGAAGCACTTAGGCAGGATGAACAACACGGAGGCAACCCTCGGTCACGGAAACAAATGGAGCTATTTGATGATTGCCTGTCTGACTGCGGGCTGGCGGATCTCGGTTTCTCCGGGTACCCGTTTACATGGGATAACAAAAGGGATCATGGGGACAATATTCAGGTACGGCTAGACCGAGCAACGTGTAATGGCGAGTTCGCGCACCTTTTTCCTGCAACTGAGGTGCAACATGTGATGACGGAGGAATCAGATCATCAGGCGCTGGTTATCAAGGCCTTAACCTCGGTGGGACAACCCAATGCGCGTGGACAGAGGCCGTTCAGCTATGAGGCTGCGTGGGCGAGGCACAAGGAGTACGAAGCCATGGTTGCTGCTACATGGGGAGATGCTCATGCAACCAATCAGAAAGAGGGTCGGCTAGAAGCAACTTTTAATATTCTGGAGAATGCGACAAGGGCCATGCAAAGGTGGAGTCGAAGGGTTTTTGGTTCTATTAAGAGGCAAATAGCCCATCTAAAAGGCCAGCTTGTGGATGCAAAGGAGAGAGCGGCCCGCACCGGGTATATGCAGGAGATTAGGGATATTGAAGATTAGCTCCATGAGCTCTATGAGAGGGAAGAGGTGTATTACAAGCAGCGTTCGAGGGTTGATTGGCTCTCGGAGGGAGACCAAAATACAAAATATTTTCAAAACCGTGCGTCACACCGCAAGAGGAAAAATACGATCAAGACCCTCAACAGGGAGGATGGAACTCTGTGTTCGGATGATGAGGGGATGAGAAGCATGGTTGCGCACTACTATGGTAATCTGTTTGCCTCTGAAGGTGTCGCAAATGGGGACCGGGTCCTGCAGCATATTCAAGAAGCAGTCACTGCTGAGATGAATACTAAGCTGGGGGCTCCTTTCACCGATGAAGAGATCGAGCAAGCTCTCTTTCAAATGGGCCCGATAAAAGCTCCGGGACCGGACGGCCTCCCGGCCATGTTTTACCAACGCCACTGGGCGCTGGTGAAAGAGGATGTTTGTGCGGCGATCCGTGAGTTTCTTGCGGGCACGGCTGCCCCCGATGGTTTCAACGACATGATCCTGGTGTTGATCCCAAAAGTAAAAGCACCACAGCTACTAACTCAGTTCAGACCCATTAGTCTGTGCAATGTGCTCTACAAAATTGCGGCGAAGGCACTGGCCAATCACCTCAAGGTGGTTCTACCGGTGTTAATTTCTGAGGAGCAGAGTGCTTTCGTGCCGGGTAGACTGATAACAGACAATGTGCTCATGGCATATGAGTGTGTACATGCTATCCGGAAAAGGAAGAGGAGGAAACCTATGTGTGCTGTAAAGCTGGATATGATGAAGGCATACGATCACGTGGAGTGGGACTTTTTAGAGAAAATGATGCTAAAATTTGGCTTCTCTGATCACTGGACATAGATGGTTATGAGGTGTGTGAAATCAGCAACTTTCTCAGTAAAATTAAATGGGGATCTATCGGAGAGGTTTTGCCCTACCAGAGGACTCCGGCAAGGTGATCCTCTCTCCCCGTACCTATTCTTGTTCTGCGTCGAAGGTTTCTCTGCCTTATTGGAAAATGCCCAAAGGGAGAAGAATATCAAAGGGGTCTCGTTTGGGAGAGGGGGACCAACGGTAACCGACTTACTCTTTGCCGATGATAGTGTGGTGTTTGTGGAGGGGTCTAGAGAGAATTTTGAGGCTCTGTGTGATATCTTGGTTGATTATGAAGAGGCCTCGGGTCAAAAGGTAAACCTCCAAAAATCAGCGGTGTTCTTTGGCAAGGGTACTCTGGATGG